GAAGAAATCTACTGTTTTTTTAATAATAAGTGGTCTGAAGCACCTTTAAATGAAAAGTGAGAGTGATCATATGCTTCAGAAAAATTTTCAGCATATTGTTACCGTCAATATTGCGGAACATTGTTTGAGGTTAAAATGTATCAATTGCCATGAAACACTACCGCTTCCCAAGAAATCACTACTGCTTCGAAAGAGATTGCATATTTTTTAAGTTATGTATAGATGAAGGTCAAATAGTCCTTTAAAATGAAATTCTGGAAGCTTAAGGTCTTCCACAATGTTCCTCAAAAGGTTAGCAACAAGTTTGCCGAACATGGCGTACAGCTAAAGTGTACGGTTCCCGGGTCCACCAAAAACGCTTATAAACAAAATTTTTCTTAAAAAAAAAAACATATTAAAAAAATGTGACCTGAAAGACCTTTAAATGAAAAGTGGGAGGGTCAAGGTGTATAAGAAAAATATTCAGTATATTGTTATCTGCAATATTGTCGAACATTGTGAGCTACTAAAATCTATCGATCCTAAAGAAACACTACCGTTTCCCAAGCAATCACTACTGCCTCGAAGGAATGCAGATTTTTAAAGTTATCACGGGGACACCTAAAAAGTACGCTAAGATGAAATGCTAGAGGGTTAAAATGTTCCGCAACATTACTCCTCATTGTGTTCTATACAAGTTTGCCGACTATAGCATATGGCTAAAATCTATGGTTCCCGAGGAATCCCTGATGATTCCAAAAATTCATATAAATTGTTATGTTTTTTATGTAATGAAAACTACTATTTTTTTAAAGTGACCTTATGACCCATAAATGAAAAGATAGAGGGTTGAGGTGATTAATAAAAAATATTCAGCATATTGTTATCAACAATATTGCTGAACATTATCTGCAGCTAAAATCGATAGATCCCAAGGAAAAACCACCGTTTCCCAAAGAATCACTAGTGCTTCGAAAGATTGCAGATTTTTAAAGTTATCGCGGGGACGACCAAAAAGTCCGATAAATTTAAACGCTAGAGGGTTATGGTGTTCCTCAACATTACTCCTCATAGTGTTACCTACAAGTTTGCCGACTATAGCATATTGCTAAAATCTATGATTTCCGAAGAATCATGAATCATTTCAGAATCAGAATCATGATTCCAAAACTAAATAAAAAATAAAATTAATTTTGTTCTTTTGTTTCTTATTTTTATTATCATTAAAATTTAATGTCCTTTTCAAGGACCTGTCTTATTCGATAGGTAACTTAAAAATATACAAACATTTACAAATAATAATTTCTAAACATATACCGCCCGTTGATCGAGCAGAGCATCCAGAATCTTGTCCATGTGATTGCTACAACTATTTAGACAAATATCGGCATAACGGCTCAAGAAGAACATATAACGTTCGAGTTCTTCAAGGGAGCAGGATTTAAAGCTATCACTGGATCCCAGTTTTCCAATATCCGCCACGATTTTCTTTAATTCCGTTAAATATTCCGGTTTACCCTGCAGGGCATCCAGAGTTTCACATGAAATCATTGTGGGATTGTGATAGTTGGATAGACGTTCCTTGACCGAGCTCAAACGTTCATGTTGATTTTTCAGGACATTTAACATTTCCGGCACGGAATCCATGGGAGGTGATTTTTCCTGAATGGTGGGGTTGGTTTTCTTCTCTTCGAAGAGATGATCCAATGATTCATTTTCATAATCCTTACCAAATGAATCGGAATTGAAACGCATTGCATCACTGTTCCGTGGCATCATGAGATCTTCAGCTCCCAAGGAGGCCAAATCGAAGTGATTGCTTCCAAATGGGGAGAGGGAAAGACGTCCTGATTCCTCCTCTTCGACTTCCTCTTGATCGAATATGTCACTTTCAAAATCCGATTGATCAAGATCACTAACGGGTATTGGCTTCGAATGGGGCCATGCATATTTGCTGCGTCCCTCTAGGCCATTGCTAGTGCCGGATTGTAGACCAACCAACATGCTGTAATTACTTTCCATGGAGAATTTAGGAGATTGGGACCAAAATTCCGGGACATTTGAGAATTCCATGTGATCGACCCCGAAGCGTAGGATGCCAGTTTCCTCTACGGAGGATTTAATGAATTGGAAGATTCTTTGAATCTTCGCCTGGCTGAGACGTTTTCCCGCAAAGGGTACGGCCAAGTCTCCGGTGGAGAACCAGTATTGCGAGCAGTTTTCTTGATGAGGTAAACGCTTGAGGATATCCACATCCTCCGAATCGGTGGAGGGCGCTTCGTGTACAGCAAATTTATAACCATCAATGCCGAAATGTAAATCCTTGGTATCGCAACTCCTCTGGCTAAAGATTTCATAGAGCAATTGAACGCGTTCTTTTTCGTTGCGATGGATCTCCAGAGACATAGAACAGTCGCCGCAGTTAATCCAAAATTTGGAAGAATTTTCTGCAGACTCCTGCAATTTATGGTGATTGGATGTCTCTTGGCTGAAGAACACCTGTTGGGAATTCATGAACCTGGGTGATTGTATCTCATGATGTTCGAGCGGATGATCTTCCCGAATCACCTGCATGGCCAGAGAACTTCTCCGCGACTCGGCGTCGTAGATGGAGCGTCGTCGTTGCTGCTTTAATGGCAAGCCAATGGGACTGAAGATTTGTTGACGAGCTCCTGTGCCGGATTCATTGAAGGGTACTGCTGTCGAGGATCCGGTTAGAGATTTCACCGGGGTGGAGAAACTTGAAGGCACATCATCATCGCTTGACTTCTTTTCCTGGTCCAACTTGACAAACAACGGAGCACTGGGTGGTTTCTCTAGGCGGCGAAGAGAGGTTTTCCGAGTCATCCTTATGGGACTTTCTATGTCATTTGAGCCCGTCTCAAAGCCCTGGTCGAAGCTATCGGTTAGGGAACGAGGTAGTTCAGGTGTTTTCTTTTCATCGGAGCCTGAATTTCCAATCATTGTTGAATCGGCTTGCAAAAGTTGCTCCCTTTGATTCTGAGCTTCATTCCCCACCATGGGAGTACACACGGTTAGGGTATAGGCGGATTTTATTTTCCTCGGCGAATTTACCGACTGTATGAGGGACTTATCCAGTTCGCTGAAGCTACCCTCAGTCATATCCAAAGGCTTTTCTTGAGGCGCCTTTTCATTATTTGCAATTTTCATGTTGGGCGCCACTTTGTTGAGAGGCTTTTCCGCTGGGTTATCCGTTTCCGAATCTGTGGAACTAATGGTATTAGTTTCCACCAAAGAGCTATCCTTACGCCAGCTAAGACTGCGGCGCATTTTCTTTTTCCTCAAGGGTTTCAGGGGTTTGGCGAAGACAGCCGAATCGTTGTGATTTTGCGCCTGTGACGAATCATCAGTGGTGGGCTGCGGAGAAGAGGAGTAATCGGGAAATTGAGCCACTTTTTCCAAGGAAAATTGTTCTCCATTTGGACTTACCTTCTCCACTTGTGAAATACCCGATTCACTTTCTTCCCCATCCGTTTGTTTGGCCGAGGAGGTGGTAGAGACCTCCGAACTTAGAGAGGAATGTTTTGGCACTTCTTCTACGGGATTCTGTTTACCTTGAGCCTCCTCCTTCTCTTGTTTTTGTTGAATTTTCACCGTTTCCAATTTGGCAATGGCCTCTTCGAGCAGCTTATCCACGGCAGATTTTTCTTCGACCTGTTCCTCATCCTCTTCCTCCGCCCTGACATCTTCCATGCTCTCTTCATGCCTCTCCTTGAGCCAAGAATAAAACAAAGTTTCCAAATGTTGATTCTGAAAGACATGAGGTGGAGCCAAGTGCTCGGCCCTGGTGCGTCGGATCTTCTTGGGCGGAGCATAGGCCTCAATGGAGAGGGTGGTACGCATCTTTTCATTATGACGTTTGTAACAGGGTTCCGAGATATTCAAATTCACAATTTGATCCACTTCACATCTTCTTCTGGGTAAAGAGCGGGATCTGCTTTCCCGTCTCTGTTTAACGGGAGATGAAGAAGCACTTTGCAGGGTAATTGTCAGGGTGGAAATGTGCGAAACTTTGGGCTTGACGAGGTCCTCAAATTCCTTGGATTTAATGGGAGTTTCAAGGCTCCTTCCCTTCATCTTTGGTTGTCGGACAGAATTCAGTCTCTCCACAGCATCGGGAGAGATTCTTTGCTTGGGGAAGACACAGCGAGCCTCCAAATTAGCCAGAAGATTTTTCACAGATTCCTGTTTTTCATTGACCACTTCACCGCGGGCCACTTCCTTTTTGATATTCGCCTCCAAGGCTTCAACATGTTCAACAAATTTGGGATTCTTCCTTGACATATCGGACACGAATTGGGTATACAGCTGGGCCTTATCTTTCACCGACATTTTGGCAAAGGCATCCTCAGCCACAAAGCAGCTGGGTTTCCTCTGCAATCGAGCCAAGGATTTGGAGCGCGGACTGGGCACCGGTACTTTTTCCTTGGTGTAACGAGTCCGCGGCAAGGGTAGAGGTTTGGGTAATGTATTGGGCTTATTACCCTCTACCTCTCCATCTGCTGAAAGTTCCCTTACCAGGGTATTATAGCCTTTGCTGTGGGCCTCACTTTTGACGATCTGGGCCACCTTGTTGTTGAACATATTTGCCATTTGTTTGACCTTGAATTTTTTGAGTAACTTCGGGGATTTGGGCTTGGAGGTTTTGCTGACTTCGGAGTTGCAGGTTGAGGAGTTTGATTCATATTTCTTCTTCAATTCCTGAATGCTGGGACGTTGTGGGGTAGTATTTGCAGCTTGAGATACCATGTTGAGAATTTTTTGTAATAACTGATCGGTTATTTTTGCTTAGAGCTTGTGTTTTAACGTTAGACGTTACAGTTTAGAACTGATGCCGAATTGTGGCGCACAAGGTCCTTAAATACGAAAAATTGAGGATAGGTAGAAGATGTGCGATTTTTCCGCGCACACTTATACCTTTTCTTTACCTGCCCATCCTGGCTGACCAGCTGCATTGATCGATTGTCCTTTTATTGTCTTTCCACATAATTATTAATCTGATGTTAGTAATCCGCATAGGATTACCTGTTTATGGCCACAACGATTTTATTGCGGCCATCGCGAAGTGCCAATATTTTTTATGGCCACTTGTGAAATTCGGGGAATCGCGAAATTATACACACGCACATAAAATTTCCAAGAGGATTTTCATAGAGACCATTAAGAGTTCTCGGTATACGCAAAAAATGATCGGAAATTTTATAAAGGATTGGGAGATCAGGGATTACATGAGCAGCTGCTAACTTCACGGAGGAAGTAGACGACAAGAAAAATATATTTTTGGAAGACTACAAAAATATTCTTCGAAGTATGGACTGAGGGTAAAGGCATCGAAAAGAATTTTTAAAAATCTGAGCCTTATTGTAACCCTTGAAAAATATTTGGTTAGGCCTTAACATTAGAAAAAAATATATAAATTTTAATACTTATCTATAAATTTGAAAATCGTATCCATATTTTTATCCTCTGATTTTACATACCTGCAAAGAAAATAAAAAAAATATTTTTAATAAAATAATTAAATATATTTTTTTATATAAACTAGTTTTAAAAAATATATACCCCGTTAAAATATGCTAAAAAAATCATGCCTTTGAAAAAAATATTAAAGAGGACCCAACGGCCAAGATACCATCAGCCCCGAAGAAGAAGTACCAAAACCTTCTACTCTAAGTTCGGAGGTCTCTACCACCTCCTCGGCCAAACAAACGGACGGAGAAGAAAGTGAATCGGGTATTTCGCAAGTGGGGAAGGTAAGTCCAACTGGAGAACAATTTTCCTGGGAAAAAGTCACTCAATTTCCTGGTTACTCTTCTTCTCCCCAGCACACCACTGATGTTTCGTCCCAGGCGGAAAATCAACAGGATTCGACTGTCTTCGCCAAGCCCTTGAAACCCTTGAGGAAAAAGAAAATGTGCCGCAGCCTTAGCTGGCGTAAGGATAGCTCTTTGGTGGAGACCAATACCATTAGTTCCACGGATTCGGAAACGGATAACCCAGCTAAGAAACCTCTCAACAAACTGGCGCCCAACATGAAAATTGGAAATAATGAAAAGGTCTCTCAAGAAAAGCCTTTGGATATGGCTGAGGGCAGCTTCAGCGAACTGGATAAGTCCCTCATACAGTCGGTAAATTCGCCGAGGAAAATTAAATCCGCCTATACCCTAACCGTGTGTACTTCCATGGTGGGGAATGAAGCTCAGAATCAAAGGGAGCAACTTTTGCAAGCCGATACAACAATGATTGGAAATTCAGGCTCCCATGAAAAGAAAACACCTGAACTACCTCGTTCCCTAACCGATAGCTTCGATCAGGGATTTGAAACGGGTTCACAAATGACATAGAAAGTCCCATAAGGGTAACTCGGAGAACTTCTCTTCGCCGACAAGACAAGCCACTCAGTGTGCTCCGTTGTTTGTCAAGTTGGACCAGAAAAAGAAGTCAAGAAGTGATGATGTGCCTTCAAGTTTCTCAACCCCGGTGAAATCTCTCACCGGATCCTCGGCAGCAATACCCTTCAATGACTCGGGCGCAGGAGCTCGTCAACAAGTTTTCACTCCCATTGGCCTGCCATTAAAGCAGCAAAGGCGTCGCTCCATTTATGACACCGAATCGCGAAGAAGTTCTCTGGCCATGCAGGTGATTCGGGAAGATCATCCCCTGGAACATCATGAGATACAATCACCCAGGTTCATGAATTCCCACAACAAATGTTCTTCAGCCAAGAGACCTCCAACCACCATCAATTTCAGGAGTCTGCGGAAAATTCTTCCAAATTTTGAATTAACTGCAGTGACTGTTCCATGTCGCTGGAGATACAACGCAACGAAAAAGAACGCGTCCAACTGCTCTATGAAATCTTTAGTCAGCGTAGCTGCGATACCAAGGATTTACATTTCCGCATTGATGGTTATAAATTTGCTGTACACGAAGCACCCTCCAATGATGCCGAAGATGTGGATATCCTGCAGCGTTTACCTCATCAAGAAATTGTTCCTAATACTGGTTCTCCACCGGAGATTTGACCATACCCTTTGCGGGAAAACGTCTCAGCCAAGGGAAGACTCAAAGAATCTTGCAAATCTTTAAATCCTCTGTGGAGGAAACTGGTGTCCTACGCTTCGGTGTCGATCATATGGAATAATCTAATGTCCCCGAATTTTGGTCTCAGTATCCCAAATTCTCCATATATAGTAATTACAGCATGTTGGCGGGCCTGGCACAAGTAATGGCCTGGAAGGGCGCAGTAAATATGCCTGGTCTCACTCGAAGCCCATACCCGTTAGCGATCTTATTCAATCGGATTTTGAAAGTGACATATTCGATCAAGAGGAAACCGAAGAGGAATCAGGACGTCTTTCCCTCTCCCACTTCGGTAGCAATCATTTCGATTTAGCCTCACTGGGCGCTGAAGATCTCATGATGCAGCGGAACAGTGATGCAATGCGTTTTAATTCCGCTTCGTTTGGCAAGGATTATGAAAATGAATCATTGGACCATCTCTTCGAAGAGAAAAAGACTAACCCCTTCGTTCAGGAAAAATCACTTCCCATGGATTCCGTACCCGAAATGTTAAATGTCCTGAAAAAACAACATGGACGTTTGAGCTCAGTCAAGGAACATTTATTCCACTGCCACAATCCCAAAATGATCCCCTGTGAAACTCTGGATGTTCTGCAAGGTAACCCCGAATATTTAACGGAATTAAAGAAAATCGTGGCAGATATTGGCAAATTGGGACAGCGACAGCTTCGAATCCTGCTCCCTTGAAGAACTCGAACGTAATATGTTCTTCTTCAGTCGTTATGCCGATATTAGCTTGAACAGCTGCAGCAATCCCATGGATAAGATATTGGATGCTCTGCTCGATCAAAGAGCGGTATATATTTAGAAAATTTAATTTGTAATTTTTTTTATATTTTTTAAGTTACCTATCGTATAAGACAGGTCCTTAAAAAGGACATTGCATTTTTTGATAATAAAAACAAGAAACAAAAGAAAAAACAAATTAAATTTTTATTTAAAAAAATGTAACCATTATGGACATTTTTGGGAGCATCAGTGATTCCTCGGAAATCATAGATTTTAGCCATATGCTATAGTCGGCAAACTTGAAGGTAACACTATGAGGAGTAATGTTGCGGAAGACTTCGACCCTCTAGCATTTCATTTTAGGGGACTTTTTGATCGTCCCCGCGATATCTTTGAAAATTTGCAATCTTTCGAGGCGGTAGTGATTCCTTGCGAAACTGTAGTGATTCCTTGGGATCCACACATTTTACCCGCAAACTATGTTCCGCAATATTGCAGATAACAATATGCTGAATATTTTCTTAAAACATCTTACTCCTCTCTCATTTCATGTAAGGGTCCTTCAGGTCACTTTTTAATAAGAACATAGTTTTCTTTAAAGGGACATAACAGTCTTTACGAATTTTTGACGAAATCAGAGATTCCTTGGGAACCGTACACTTTGTTGCGGAACATCATAACCCTGTAGCATTTCATTTTAGGGGAATTTTTGGCCTTCATCTTGATAGGTGAAAAATATGCAATCTTTCGAAGCTGTAGCATTTTTGGTGGGATTAGTGATTTCTCGCGACCCGTACACTTTAGGTGTAAGTTATATTCGGTTGACTTGTTGCTAGCCCTTTGAGGAACATTTTTGCGGAACATCATAACCCTCCATCTTTTAATTTTAGGGTACTTTTTGATCTTCCCCTTAAAAACTTACAGCAATATAGAATCTCTCGAAGCGCTAGCGATTTTTTTGGGGTCCATACATTTTAGCCGCAAACAATGTTCCGCAATATTGTTGACAAGAATATGCTGAATATTTTTCTTGAATATCTTACCCCACTTACACTTCATTTAAGGGACCTTCAGGACAGTTTTTAATAAAAAAGCTTGCTTTCTTTAAAAAAAAATAGTTTAAAGAAATTTTTGGTGGGCTTAGTGATTCCTCGAGAACCGCACACTTTAGCCGTACACTATGTTCGGCTAACTTGTTGCTAACCCTTTGAGGAACATTGTTGCGGAACATTTTAACCATCTATGATTTCATTTTAGAGGAATTTTTGGCTTTCAATCTGATAGCTAATAATTATACAATCCTTTCATTCATTTTTGGTGGAATCAGCGATTCCTTGGGAACCGAACACTTTTGCTTCACGCTATGTTGGGCCAACATGTTGCTAACCCTTTGGGCAACATTGTTGCGGAACATTTTAACCCTCTATGATTTAATTTTAGACGACTTTTTGACCTTTAACCAGATAGATATAAAAATTTACATTACTTCGAAGTGGTAGAATTTTTGGTGGGATTAGTGATTTCAGGGGAACCATACACTTTAGCAGTATGTTATATTCCGCAAACTTGGTGCTAACCCTTTGAGCTACATTGTTGCGGAGGGTTAACTTTTCATTTTAGGGGACTTTTTGGTCTTCACACTAATAACTAAAAAAATAAAATCCTTAAAGCGGTAGCATTTTTGGTGGGATTATGATTCCACGGGAACCGTACACTTTAGATTCAAGCTATGTCTAATAAGCGCGCAGAGAACTCTTTGGGGAACATTGTTGCGGAACATCATAATCCTCTAGCGTTTCAATTTAGGGACCGCCTTGTGTTAGGCCTTAGAAAAATATGTTAAAAAATATCCCCGCTTATTTTGAGGTCCCCAAAAAATATTTTTAGAAAATCCCGGTTAATATTAAGGCCCCCAGACATATTTTTAAAAATTCAGTTTTTTTTAATTTTTAAAATCATATTTTATTTTTTTTTAAATCTATTTCTTAAATATTAGTCGCCTTTAGAAGGCTTTGCTATTTACAAAAAAATCTTAAAACTATTCGGTTTTTTAAAAAACCTCTTTACATCTCCACGGTCCTGCTACGTTCCATCATGGCATCGAGGATTTTATCCATTTGACTGCTGCAGCTATTGAGGCAAATATCAGCATAACGGCTCAAGAAGAACATATAACGTTCCAAATCCTCCAACGAACAATCCTTGAAGCCGTTCCGACTGCCAATGCGACTGATATCCGAAACAATGGATTTGATTTTTGCCAAATATTCCGGTGTACCTTTCAATTCCTCCAAAGAATCACATGAGAGATTCAAGGGATTCTGATAACCTGACATGCGTTCTTGTACCGAAGTAAGGAGTTCTTGATGACCCTGCAGGGTGGTGAGGATTTCTGGTAATTTGCTGTCATTTAGTGACGATTCTTTGGGATGTTGAGTCTCCTCGGCAATTTTGTGTTCGAACAACTGATCCAAGGGTTCATTTTCATAGGCCAGGCAAAATGATTCCTCAGACATTAGTAGGGCTTCATCGCTTCTTGGCAGGTCAAGAATCTCCTCTTCTTCGACACCATTATCCAAACAGGCCAAATCGAAATGTTTGTTGTCTGCCGTGATGCCGGAGAACGGAGAGTAGGAATCATTTTCCGCAAAGACCTCCTGATCTTCTTCATAATCCGATTGATCAAGATCACTGACCGGTACTGGTTTGGTATTTGGCCAAGCATATTTGCTACGTCCCTCCAGGCCATTGCTGTTGCCGGATTGTAGACCCACCAGCATGCTGTAATTACTTTCCATGGAAAATTTCGGCGATTGAGTCCAATTTTCAGGGACATTGGAGAATTCCACATCATCCACACCGAATCGGAGGATACCATTTTCCTCGACCGTCGATTTAATGACCTGGAAAAGTTTTTGTATCTTCTCCTCGGATAATTGCTTCCCAGCGAAGGGTATCACCAAATCTCCTGTGGAGAACCAGTACTGAGAAACTTCAGGGGTTTGAGGAAGACGCAATGCTTCCTCCTCATCACCTTGCTGAGTTTGATTATGCACCGAAAACCTTTGCTTATCGATGCCGAAATGCATTTCCTTGGTGTCACAGCTGCGTTGAGAGAAGATTTCGTGGAGCAACTTCAGACGTTCCTTTTCATTTTTATGGATATCAAAGGAGAGATTGAAGTCACTGGACTTGATCCAAAACAGAGAAGACTTAGGGCTGGTGATTCCGGTCAGATCTCCACAGCTTGTCATATCCAAAGTCGGAGCATTGGCAAAGAAAACTTCGGTATTGCAAAGATTCCTTGGCGATTTCATTTCATGATGCTCCAAGGGATGATCCTCCCTGATGACCTGCATGGCAATCGAACTGCGTCGGGATTCATTGTCATAAATCGAACGTCGGCGATTTTTCATGGGTACGGAAATGGGACTGAAGAGCTGCTGCTGACCCACTGCCGATTGATTAAAGTTGGCCTCTTGAGTTTTCCTTTTGATAGGTGTTGAAAATCCGCTGGGGTTTTCGGGAATTTTTTGCGAACGCTCAATCGAAGATTGTCTCCTGAGGATGGGTTTGCGCTGCACTTTGATGGGACTATCCAAATCATTGGATCCCGTTTCAAAACCTTGATCAAAACTCAAATCAGTTGCAGGGCGAACTTCCGAAGATTTTGGTAAATCCGAATCCATATCATAAAGGCTTTGATTCCTTGAGGGTGGTGGGGAGAACACAGTCAAGGTATAGGCGGATTTGATTTTACGTGGCGAATTCACCACACGCATAAGGGATTTATCCAATTCCCCAAAACTGGCCTCCTGGGAGGGTTGAGTTTCAATCGCAACACTCGATTGAGGCTGTTGCTTCGTAATCTGACAACTGGGTCTTTTGTGTACAATTGGTCGCTCATTTTTGGTTTCATTCTCGGAATCGGTGGAGGAAATCGGCTTGGTTTCCACCAAACAGCTATCCTTTTTCCAGCTCAGGGTACGGCGCATTTTCTTTTTACGCAAAGGTTTGACGGGTCTATCGGTCTCTTTCATTGCTGGGCTTGGCATTTTCTCGGCCACTTTTTGTTCCTCATCACTGGTATTCTGTTGAGAAGGGGAAGAAGTTGCGAAATTAGTTCGGGTTCCCAGGATTCCTTGTGGATCTCTTGAACATACCTTAGTTAGATTAGAAATTCCCGATTCACTTTCCTCACCGCTGGAGGATTGTTTGGCCGAGGAGCTGCTCACAGAGGAAACTAAACTACTTCCAAGACTAGATGAGGTTCCCTCCGAATTTTCCATGGCCTTGGTAGGCTGAGGTACTGCAGGTGCTGGCCTTTTCTTGGGCTTCAATTTGGGCGCCATTTTCTCTTCTTCATTTTGTTTGATTTCCACATTTTCCAATTTCACAATGGCCTCTTCTAGCAAGCGATCGATGGCCGACTTCTGCCTTTCATCCTCCATTTCACAGGTGTTCGATTGCTGAGTCTCTTCGTGCTGAGAATGTTTCTCCTTGAGCCAGGAATAGAATAAGGTCTCCAATTGTCGATTGGCTAGGCAGAGTTGGGGTGTCATTACCTCGCAGCGGCTGGCACGTATCTGCTTCGGTGTGGCAAATGAAATAGAGGCTTCCTCTTTAGTCTGAACTCCGTTCTTCACGATCAATTGATCAATTTTGCTATGCGAAAGTGAGCGGGCTCGGCGTAGTTGATGATTCCTAACGGATTTAAGGTCTTCCAATTCCATGGCTTTCACTGAGCATTTGCGGCTAGGACGCAGGGTAGTTGCTATAAATTTAGGCTTCATTTTCTCCTTTTGATACGATTGTCCTGCCGAACATCTAGCCTCCAATTGCTGCCTTAGCTGCTTAACTGATTCCTGTCTTTCATTGATGACTTCACCGCGTGCCACTTCCTTTTTCACTGTGGCTTCAATGAGCCCAGCATGACGGCCGAAACGTGGATTTTTCTTCGACATATCCTCAACGAATTGTGTATAGAGCATGGCCTTATCCTTGACACTGAGATGGGCAAAGGCATCCTCAGCCACAAAGTAGCTGGGTTTGCGTTGCAATCTCGATTTTGATTTGGTGCGAGGACTGGGTACAGGGGCCTTTTCCTTATTGTGGCGGAAGCGAGGCATTGGCAAAGGTTTGGGTAACGATTCAGTGGGCTTCTTCGTCGATGTAGTCGAGGAGGAAGAGGTGACTTCCGTATCTCTTCGTATAATCTGGGAAATTTTGTTATTAAACATCGAAGCCATTTGTTTGACCATCGATTTGCTTCTCATCTTCGGTGATTTGGGTTTTAGGATTTTCGAAGCGGAGGAGTTTACGATTCCGTTCGTAGTTGATTGACTTTCATATTTCTGCTTCAATTCCTGAATACTGGGACGTGGAGGAGCTGGATACTTCTTGCGTGATGGAATTTGTGATGATGCGGCGGATGCATTTTCTTGAGCCTCGATGTTGCTGGCAAGAACTTTTACGGATGAGGACATCATGTTGATAGTTAGATTTTTTGTTAGTTTAAAATTTGCTTAGAGCGGATTTGTTTGGTTGTTAACGTTAGACGTTGCAGTTTAGAACTGATGCTGATTTGCCCAAACGCCAGGACTATAAATACTCAAAACTCACTTCGTTACTTAGGTAAAGGATTTTTCCTAATTGTGTGCGCGCGCTCACACAACTTCTTTGCGGAACCCTTTTTCAGGTCTTTTTCTAATTTGAAGATTTCCCTTTATCCCATTTAGAATTACCTGACGTTCCTAAATCTACTAGTGCGCAGATTTACGGAATTCTCGTGTGGCGCAATAAAATCCTGGTGAGAGTGGGAGCGTGTGCTCACAGCAAATAAGACTCTATCTACCTGTTCGTCAGAATAGCACCTTTGACAATTTGAAGCAGCTGTTCGTGGGTGATCATCTGGATTTCGAGGAAAGTGATTTTATTGCGGATTGGATTAGTGATTTCCGTATAATTTCAATAATTAATTGGAAACTGAAAAATTTCCCAAATCTAGAGCAGTTAAAAGGAAATTATGAAATTCCGCAACAGCTCAGGAATATTTGGCAGAAGAAGTAAAATAATTTAAAAGAAGATATTCAGAACTAAGATGCCTAAAAGAATTGGAATATTTTCTACAAAGAATTTTTAGACAAAAGATAAGAAACTAAATAATTGGTCGAACTTAAAGTGGCGCCCAATATGGGGAAAAGAAGGCGGAGAATTACAAATCCTGCATGAAATTACAGACTAAAATTTTTTTCATTAAAGAATAAATATATTTAGCGCCCAATTTGAGAAGCACTTCAAATAACAATTTCTTTCAAATTTATACAAATAATTGGAATATTTGCCGTAAAAAAATTCAGGATGGTCCTATAAATTTTGATGTGAAAATCTCAAAAATTTTGGAAGACATAGCTGATTTATTTTGTTAGCATCAAGTGACAGCATCTCCAAACAGCGTTTTTGCGCGGCACGATAACTCAAAAGCTAATAACCCTCTGTGAGTGTATAGTTATCGTATGAACTAGGATAAAGTCAATCGGTGAAGATCTTCCTTATTTTTTTTAACTTAGTTTGTGGTCAAAAATAGGCGATTTTTCAAAAATTGTTTTTCAAAGTTCCGCCTTTTTGTTAATTGTTGTGCGAAGTCAATAATCCTAGTTCATACGAGAGCCCGACATGTACAGTTTCTAACACCGTTGGAATTTTCGGATTCCGATGTTCCAGCCCGCCATCAAAAATAAGGACTTTTCATTGATTGTTCCCTTAAGTTCGAAGATGGGGAATATAGGTCCACTCCTTAATAAATTAATTTAATAATAACATGCACACGGACTAACCGATTTTAACGAGACTTTGTACAACTTATTATCTTTACCAAACCTAGATAAAGTTTGAAGATGGGACCCATTGGTCCACTCCTTCTGGTACCCCACAAAATGGTCAAAATTGTGCTAAAAATTAATTTTATAATAACATGCAAACGGACTATCAGATTTTAATGAAACTTTGTACAAGCTATTATCTTTACCAAGCCTAGATCAAGTAGCAAAAGGGGACCTATTGGTTCACTCTTTCTAGTACCTCCCCCACCCCCCCCCCCCCCCCAAATGGTCAAAATTGTCAATATTTGTAAATCCAATATCAGGCGAATGGAATGTCCGATGTGAATCAAACTTTACACAACCTATTACCATTACGAAGTCTTGGTTACGTCCGAAGATGGGACCCATTGGCCCACTCCTTCTGGTACCTCCCCCATGAATGGTCAAAATTTTCAATATTTATAAATGGAATATCTTTACCAAGCCTAGATCAACTCCGAAGATTGGACCCAATAGTCTACTCCTTCCGGTACCTCCCTCACAAATGGTTAATATTATATAAAATGTTATCAACATTAAATCCGAAAACTCTTTGATAAAAATATATTTCTTATATAAAGCTAGTAATAAAATCTGTGTGTAATTTCGAAGACCTCCGCAAACCATAGACTGGGGGTATATATCTGTCGGCAACACCGACTGACACTTTTATACTTGTTTTTAATTTGTTTATAAATATATATTGGCGTCCAATATGCTTAGACTATTCCCTGAAGAATTTAAGGACAAAAATAAGGTTGAAATAAAGAACAAGTGAAAAAAGCGTTAAGTTCGGCCGGGACGAACTTTGGATACCCTCCACCATAGATATACTGACAGATACTTGAAATGAAAATATTGGGAACATAAAGTGACCTTTCTATAAACTGATTATGTAAACCATAATGTACACCAAATATAAATTTCAGCAATTTTAATGGACATTTATACCCTCAGCCTTATGGCTAATGAATGTGTATACACTTTGATACAGTGAAAATGTGCCTCATCGAAATATTGGTTCCAGACCCATGTTTCTTTGAACAAAATACGTTTCTTATTATTTCTTCCAAACATAGTTGAAGTTCGAAGATAGGGAATATCGGTCCACTCCTTCTGGTACATCCAACACAGGGGTTCATATATTGTTCATTATCGAACCATGCGTTCTAGTTTTTATCTCGATATCCTCCGCAGGTGAAATGATTACCACAGAGTTTTAGAACCAAACCCAAAACGCGGAACAAATCAGATAACTATTTTAATATAAAAAAGGGGGTCATATGGGGACTACCTCAAAAAGGGAGCGAATATTAATAATTTTTGGTAGGGAGATTTGTTACCATATACGACTGCAAAATACCAAATTGCAGCAAATTGGGTTGAAAAACGCGCTCAAGAACCCCAAAATACCGAAAATTGGGGGGTACCTTTATATGGGGGCTATCCGAAAGAATGGACCTATATTCACAATTTTTTTGTGGGGAGATTTGGTGCCTATTAAGGACTCAAAATACTAAATTACAGCCAATTCGGTGAAAAAATCCGGTCAAAACCCCCCCAAAAACTGGAAATTGGGAGGTGCCCTTTTATGGGGGCTACCAGAAAAAGTGGACCTATATTTATAATTTTTAGTGGGGCAATTTGGTACCCAATAAGAACCCCATGTACCACATTTCAGCGAATTCGGTTGAATCCCGCGCTCAGGAACCTCAAAATACCGAATATTGGGGGGTACCCATATATGGGAGCTATGCCTAAACGTGGACCGATATATCCCATCTTCGAACTTGACCTGCCTGCAGACAAAAGACAACTTTATGCAAAATTTCAGCACCCTATCTCAATTCCTTCAGAAGATAGCGTGATTACAACAGACGGACGGACGGACATGGCTAGATCGTCTTAGAATTTTTTGTAAATATTTTGATGCTTAATCTATATTCTGGTGCCCAATATTTTTTTATCAATTGACAAAATGTCACAATTTTTAATAGCAAGTTGTCCCTTGAGTGACATTTACCGTTAGAACGTATTTTTTATGCATCTGCATAGCAAAGTCTAAAAGTATGCTCAGATGTATCCAATGAATACACCGTTTTCACATGTTATTCAAAACATATCAAATGTAATTCGAGAATTCCATTTGTTATTCAAAACATATATATTGCAATTCGAGAATTCCATTTGAAATTCACAACATGTAAGTTGTAATTCGAGAATTTCATTTGTAATTCATAGAATAGCTTTCGAAATTTATATAATTCCATTTGAAATTCCAAAGATTTCATTTGAAAGACATACAATTTCATTTGAAATTAATAAAGTTTCTTTAGAAATTCAAAGAATTCCACTTGAAATTTATAACATTTGATTTGAAATACATAATATTTCATTTGTTATTCATAACATTTCATTTTACATTCGAAAAATATTAATAGTAATATACAAAGAATATGTAGGAATTTGAAACGAATTGTTACGAATTACAAACGAAATATTATGAATTACAAGTGAAATGTTATGAATTTCAAATTCAATTCTTTGAATTTTAAGTGGATTTCTGAGAATGTCAAATGAAACTCTACGAATTTCAAATAGAAATATACGAATTACAAATGTAATTTTTTAAATTTTAGATGGAATTATGTGAATTACATATGAAATGTTTAAAATTACAAATGGAATGTTGTGAATTACCAATTACATTCTCGAATTTCAAATGAAATGTTATGAATTGCAAATTGAGTGGTGGAGGTGCCCTGTTCGAGAACTTTTAAACATACACCCGACCTCGCGGTATTAAATGAAAGGCATTCACCTCTACTTTCTGAAATGATTTTATTCAATAATTTTTTGAAACAGAAATTTTGAGAAATCATAAAAAATCATTTTTTATTTTTACAAAATATATTTTTAAGGGCAAATGTTTAAAGGTCCACTGTTCGGGAACTATAAAACATACACCCGACCTCGGGGTACCTAATTAAAGCTTTTCTCATCTACTTTCCAAAATTATTTAATTCACATTTTTTTGAATTAAAAATTTTGAGAAATTTTTTTTTTTAAATAATTTTTTTACTATACTAATTTTTTAAGGGCAAAATTTTTGGAGGTACACTGTTCGGGAACTATGAAACATACAACCGACCTCGAGGTATCAAAGGAAAGACCATCCTCTCCACTTTTCGAAAATATTTTCATTAAAATTTTTTGAAACAGGAATTTAGAAAAAAAATAAAATAAAAATGTCTTTGTGTTTATTTTTGTAAAGATAACTGCTCCAAATATTTGGAGGTGCCCTGTTTGGGAACTATAAAACATGTAGCCGTCTTCGGGGTATCAAATGAGAGTTCATCTCCTGTACTTTTCGAAAATATTTTATTCAAAAATTTTTTGAAACAGAAATTTTGAGAAAAAATTATTTAAAAATATTTAGATTATTTTTACAAAAAATAATTTTTTAGGGCAACATGTTTGGAGGTGCACTGTTCGGGAACTATGAAACATACACCCGACTTCAAGGTGCCAAATGAACGGCTATCTCCTCTACTTCTCGAAAATATTTTATTCAAACTTTTTTGAAATAGAAAATATGAGAAAATGGTAATTTGAAAAAAATTGGTTTTTTATTTTTACAAAAAATAATTTTTTAAGGGCAACATGTTGTAAGGTGCCCTGATCAGGAACTATGAAACATACACGCGACGTCAAGGCACCAAATGAAAGACTACAAAAATTATTTATTTCAAATTGTTTTGAAACAAAAAGTATGAGACAAAAAAATTATTTGAAATAAAAAATTATGTTTCATATTTACAAAATATATGTATATTTTTAAGGGCAACATGTTTGGATTTGCCCTGTTCGGGAACTATGAAACATACCGCCGACCTCGGGGTATCAAATGAAAGCTTATCTCCTCTAATTTTCGAAAATATTTTAATCAACATTTTATTGAATCAAAAATTTTCAGAAACAAATTCTTCGAAATAAAAAATTATGTTTTATATTAAAAAAAATATATATATTTTTTTAGGGCCATATGCTTGGGGTGCCCTGTTCGGGACCTAAAAAACATATAGCCGACCTCAAGGTGCCAAATGAATGGCTATCTCCTCTACATTCCGAAAATATTTTTTCCAAAATAATTTTGAAACTAAAAATTTGAGAAAAAAATTATTTGAAATAGAAAATATCTGTTTATTTTTACCAAAAATAATTTTTAAGGGCAACCTGTTTGGAGGTCCCCTATTTGGGAACTGTATCCGACCTAACGGTACCAAATGAAGGGTAACCAATGAAAGCTCATCTCCTCTATTTTTCGGAAATATTCTTTTCAAAATTATTTTGAACAAAAAATATAGAAAAAATAATTTGAAATAAAAAATGCTATTTTATATTTACAAACACAATTTTTTAGGGCTAGATGTTTGAACGTGCCCAGTTCGGGAACTATAAATCATACACCCGACCTCTGGGTACCAAATGAAAGGTATTCACCTCTACTTTTCGAAAATATTCTATTCCAACATTGTTTGAAATAGAAATTTTGAGAAAAAAATTATTTGAAAAAAAAAAAATATTTTTTTTACAAACATAATTTTTTCAGGGCATCATATTTGGAGGTGCACTGTTCGGGAACTATGGAATATACATCCGACATCAGGGTACCAAATGAAAGTCTATCTCTTCTATTTTACAAAAATTATTTATTTCAAATTGTATTGAAACAAAAATATGAGACAAAAAAAAAATTATTTGAAATAAAAAATGATGTTTCATATTCACAAAATATATTCTTAAGGGCAACATGTTGGGAGGTGCCCTGTTCGGGAACTATTAAACATACAACCGACATCAGAGTACCGAATTAGAGTTTATCGCCTCTACTTTTCGAAAATATTTTAATCAAAATTTTATTGAATCAAAAAATTGCAGAAACAAATTATTTAAAATAAAAATTTTTTTTTTATATTAAAAAAAAATATTTTTTTAGGGCCACATGTTTGGGGTGCCCTGTTCGGGACCAATAAAACATATAGCCGACCTCAAGGTGCCAAATGAATGGCTGTCTACTCTACTTTCCGAAAATATTTTTTCCAAAATAATTTTGAAACTAAAAATTTGAGAAAAAAAATATTTGAAATAAAAAATATCTGTTTATTTTTACAAAAAAATAATTTTTAAGGGCAACCTGTTTGGAGGTCCCCTATTTGGGAACTGTAAAACATATAACAGACCTAACGGTACCAAATGAAGGGTAACCAATGAAAGCTCATCTCCTCTATTTTTCGGAAATATTATTTTCAAAATTATTTTGAACAAAAAATATAGAAAAAATTATTTGAAATAAAAAATGCTATTTTATATTTTTTTAGGGCTAGATGTTTGAACGTGCCCAGTTCGGGAACTATAAATCATACACCCGACTTCAAGGTGCCAAATGAACGGCTATCTCCTCTACTTCTCGAAAATATTTTATTCAAATATTCTTTGAAATAGAAAATTTGAGAAAATAATAATTTGAAAAATTGTTTTTTTTTTTATTTTTACAAAAAATAATTTTTTAAGGGCAACATGTTTTAAGGTGCCCTGATTAGGAACTATGAAACCTACACGCGATGTCAAGGTACCAAATGAAAGTCTATATCTTCTATTTTACAAAAATAATTTATTTCAAATTGTTTTGAAGTAAAAAATATGAGAAAAAATTATTTGAAATAAAAAATGAAGTTTCATATTTACAAAATATATATTTTTTAAGGGCAACATGTTTGGACTTGCACTGTTCGGGAACTATAAAACATACCGCCGACCTCGGGGTACCAAATGAAAGCTTATCTCCTCTACTTATCGAAAATATTTTAATCAAAATTTTATTGAATCAAAAAATTTCAGAAACAAATTATTTAAAATAAAAAATTATGTTTTATATTTAAAAAAAATATTTTTTAGGGCCACATGTTTGGGGGTGCCCTGTTCGGGACCTATAAAAAATATAGCCGACCTCAAGGTGCCAAATGAATGGCTATTTCCTCTACTTTCCGAAAATATTTTTTCCAAAATAATTTTGAAACAAAAATGTTGAGAAAACATTATTTGAAATAAAAAATATCTGTTTATTTTTACAAAAAATAATTTTTAAGGGCAACATGTTTGGAGGTCCCCTATTTGGGAACTGTAAAACATATAACCGACCTAACGGTACCAAATGAAGGGTAACCAATGAAAGCTCATCTCCTCTATTTTTCGGAAATATTCTTTTCAAAATTATTTTGAACAAAAAATATAGAACAAATTATTTGAAATAAAAAATGCTATTTTATATTTTTTTTAGGGCTAGATGTTTGAACGTGCCCAGTTCGGGAACTATAAATCATACACCCGACCTCTGGGTACCAAATGAAAGGTATTCACCTCTACTTTTCGAAAATATTCTACTCAAACATTGTTTGAAATAGATATTTTGAGAAAAAAATTATTTGAAAAAAAAAATATTTTTTTTACAAACATAATTTTTTTAGGGCATCATATTAGGAGGTGCACTGTTCGGGAGCTATGGAACATACACCCGACATCAGGGTACCAAATGAAAGTCTATCTCTTATATTTTACAAAAATTATTTATTTCAAATTGTTTTGAAACAAAAAAATATGAGACAAAAAAAAAATTATTTGAAATAAAAAATTATGTTTCATATTTACAAAATGCATGTATATTTTTAAGGGCAACATGTTTGGACTTGCCCTGTTCGGGAACTATGAAACATATCGCCGACCTCGGGGTACCAAATGAAAGCTTATCTCCTCTAATTTTCAAAAATATTTTATTCGAAATTAGTTTGAAACAAAAATGTTAAGAAAAAAAATATTTAAAACAAAAAAATTATTCTTACAAAAATATTTTTTTAAGATCAATGTTCAGAAGTGCTCTGTTCGGGAACTATAAAATATACACCCGACTTCAGGGTACCAAATGAATGCTTACGTCCTCTACTTTTTGGAGAATATTTTTCCTAAAATTGTTTTGAATCAAAAATTTTAAGAAAATATTTTTTTGAAATAAAAAACATTTATTTTTCCAAAATAATTTTTAAGGGCTACATATTTGGAAGTGCCCTGTTCGGGAACTATTGAACATACACCCTATTGCAAGGTATCAAATGAAAGTCCATCCTCTTTTCTTTCCGAAAAAATATTTTTTTTTAATTTCCCCCTTCTTATTTCCCGAAATTTCCCCATAAAAATTAAAATATTTTTTTTTGTTTCCGAAGCGGCAAATTTTCTCTTTTTTATTTTCAAAATTCCAACTTATACACTAAAAAAATTAGATGCTAATTCTACCGGATCTTTAGAAGATCGTGGTAACTTACAAAACTATATACACAAAGAAATTCTTAAAAATATAAAACTTAAAATTAGGGGGAGGTTCCTTAAGGCTAAACGCGAAAACCTTGGCCTTTTTCCAAAGACCTTGGTCTTGAGTCATTTTTGAAAAATGTTTACGACGAATGGGCGGAATGTTTTGGGTTTTGGGTTTTTAGAGTACAGTTGAAAATTTCGATCATCGATTGAAAAAGAAAATCTATGCCTGAAATGATTTTTGATTCATCACCACATCGAGAATCTTTTCAATGTGGGCGGTGCAATTGGCCAGGCAAAGATCGGCATAGCGACTCAAGAAGAACATGAAGCTCTCGAGCTGTTCGATGGAACAGGCATTGAATCCGTTGTTACCCCTTCCAATATTATCGATGGCCGAAATGATGCTCCTTAATTTCCTCATGTACTCAGGGCACTCACGGAATTGTTCCAGGTTCTTACAGCTGCTGGTTGTGCTCGAATTGAGAGGTGCAGCACAGTTTACCATCCGTTCTTCGAGGCTTTTGAGTTTCTCTTGCTGGGTGTGCAACGTCTTGAGCATTTCGGGGACAGTCAGCTGTGATGCCATGGCCAATTTATCCGTTTGAGTTTTACTCAAATTCAAATTTCGGGCATCTTCGAAAATTTGTTCCAAAGTATCGGGTGATTCTTCAGATTTAATCGAACCCGAGTCGGAGTGGTTACTACCCAAGGCCGAGAAGCTGAGACTTTGTTCCAATTCCACAGATTCAAAATCTGATTGATCTAAGTCGCTGGTCTTGAGAGGTGGTGAAGCCGAGGGCCAGGTATAGGTGGCATCTGAGGTGGTGGGTGAGATACTGACATTTGAGAATTCATACGAATCAATACCGAATCTCAGCTGACCATGGGAGTCCTCCATGAATTCCCGGATATAATTAAAGAAGGCCTGGATCTTCGTCGTACTCAAATGCTTTCCGGCAAAGGGTAGCAGAACATCTCCCGTGGAGAACCAATACTGCGAACAATTTTCCATGTGTGGAATTTTACGCAAAATCTCCGTTTGACTTAGGGGACATTCGGCGGAGAATTTCTGATCATCTATGCCGAAAGTCATATCACGATTTTCCGCACATTTTTGCCCGAAGATGTTACTGAGAAGCATTAGGCGTTCCGATTCATAGAAGTGGATATTCATCGCCGTGGTAAAGTCGCCGAAAGAGATCCAAAACTGTGATGCTTCCATTTTATGTGTCACCGTCAAATGATGCGGTGTGTTTACCCTGGAGCCTGCGCTGACATGGGAAGAGCCTGCAGAACTATGGGAATGCTGAATTTCACCGTTGAAATAGCTGCCGCTCATGTTGAAAGAGGTTGCCGAGCTGTTCGTGTACTCCAACTCCTCAGAATCCTCGAGTATAGATTGCATGGTCTGCTGCTTCGCATGATGTGATCCCGGACTCGAAGGAATGGGACTGATAAGGTGTTTTTGGGTATGTAAACCCTGCTGAGCGGAGGTGAAGATCTGTTGTATGGGTTTATCCTTATTGGGTGTGGAGAAGTTTTGGGGATTTTCCTCACTGACCCGTAACACAACCTGAGGTTTTTCCAATTCCGTGTGGGAGCTGGATTTCTTGGTTAGTCTTATGGGAGATTCCATTTCATTGGATCCCGTTTCGAAACCCTGATCAATAAAGCTATCCATCATCAAACGATCCTGTTCCAATTCCAATTTGTTCTTCTCGAGGTCGGTGAATTCCGTGGACACAGATTTTTGCCTTAGCTGCTTCTGCTTATCCTCCAGGCCGACCTCTAGAAGTGAGGGTAGAGACCGGGAAAGATCTTTGCTGGGTGTTCTCAACAATTCCGCCGCATCCTCATCATCACAATCACTTTCCGCTGGGGGTGAGGGTGAAGACATCACGGTCAGGGTATAGGCATCCTTGATTTTTGAGGGTGAATTGATTTGTCGCATCAGCGAACGATCCAATTCCATGATGCTTAGCTCCGGCTGACCCACAGAACTGGGTTGTTCGGAACTCACTGAGGAGTTGATGGTCTTGAACAGCAGCTTCTTAACATAGGCAGTGCATTTTTTGGATTTCGACAGGGTGCCCGTGAGGGATTTATTGCTGAGCGAGCGGCAATCGGAATCAGAATCTGTGGACACGGCTGGATTGGCTTCTACCAGGGAATAGTCTTTTTTCCAGGTCAAAGAACGTCTCAATTTCTTTTTGCGTAGCATTTTGGGAGCCTTCGTATCCAAGGGGATGTCGAGAGAATCTTTTTCAGTGTTCGAATCTTCGCTAGTTGTCTGTGGAGGGAAATTGTGGCAGGAGCCTGGGATTGTTGCATTCTTGGTACTTGTGTTTTTTCTAACTTCTTC